CTACAAGCGCACTTCCGGCATTCGCGCCGAAGATGATCTCTGGCATCAGCGTCTGGGACACCCCTCGCGCCAGTCCCTCGCCAACTGCCTCCGCGCTAAAGTTTTTCCGCCAGGAGCACTGCTGCGCCCCGACGGATCAGAACCGCATAACACCCCTCACCCAGTCACTTGCACTGTCTGCCCCACAGCTGCGCTCTCCCACAGCGCCTACCCCTCTCTGGAGCCGAGCACCAACCGTTACAAGAAGCTGGAGAAAGTATACAGCGACTTTATCGTACTCACCTTCGACGACATCAACGGCGAGAAATATACCCTCACCTTCATCGACGCTTACTCGCGCCATGTGTGGGTCGCCAACGTCGACGCTCGCTCCAAGGCTCCGCAAGTATTCCGCATCTTCCTCGCGCACGCGCAGCGCCAGTCAGGAAAGAAGCTGAAGATCTGGCAGATCGATGGGGCCAAGGAATTTCGCAGCAACGAGCTGGAGAGTGTTCTTACCGAGAAGGGGATCAAGCATGAGATTTCTCTCCCCTACGCTCACCAGCAGCAAGGCGTCGCAGAGAGAGTCAATTGCACCCTCATGACAAAAGTCCGCGCCCTCATGAACCAGTCCGGTCTGCCAAAGAAGTTTTGGCCCTACGCCATGAACCACGCGGTGCGCCTGCACAACCTTCTCTCCACCACCGCCAACAGGGACAACCTGTCCCCTCACATGAAGTGGACCGGCTCAAGGGGAGATCCCTCCATGCTAAGGGTCTGGGGGTGCATGGTGCAGTACCGGCCGACCTCGGCCACAATCGGGAAGTTCGTTCATCGCGCGCGCTCATCTGGGCCTCAGTCACGAGCACAAAGGATGGCTCATACTTGACATCGACAGCAACGAAGGAGTTCCCGCGCGTGATATTCTCTTCTACGAGCAGCATCTGGTAGATGCTGCTGCCAGAGGCCAGCATCTGGTATTCTCTTCTGATATTCTCTTCATCCGCCTCGTCTCTGGCAGCAGCATCTGCACAAAATCCTCCTGGAGATCGGTTTCAAGCAGCTGCCACACGACCCGGGAATGTATCGCCTTCACTTTAGCGGCGATTACATACTCCTGACAGCCTACGTCGACGACCTGCTGTACACGGGCACCTGCAACAAACTCCTTAACCAGTTTGAGGAGAACCTGGCGCAGCGCGTGTCAGAATATTATGCTCTAGCCTGTAGTGGGGTGCTCTATAGCGAGTACAACCCTTCTAGGGTTTGCTATTTGTATCCTCATTCTTGCTACTGCAACCCCTCTTCTTCCTACTATTTTAACATGCTATCAGAGCAGGTCGATCCCCTTGGATCGATCCTGTGGGTGGTCTTACCACCTCGTTGCTTCCGCTGCAACTTCCACTGCTACCCTCTGTGCCGCACGCCCCGTGGCGTGCGGCAGTTTTTCTTCCCGCCGTGCGCCCCGAGGCGCGCGGCGGTTTTCTGCCCGCCGTGCGCCCCGTGGCGCGCGGCGGTTCTCTGCCCGCTGTGCGCCCCGAGGCGCGCGGCGGGCTTCTGCCCCGTCACTCGGCGCGTCGCCCTCGGGAGGCGCTGCGACGGGCGACGGGGACCCGCGCGTCGCCCCCCGTCGCCCGTCGTGGCCTGCGCGCGGCCCGTACAGGCTGCGCGCGGCCCGTACAGGCTGCGCGCGGCCCGTAAGGGCTGCGCCAGGCCCGGACGCGGCCCGTACGGGCTGCGCCAGGCCAGCGCGCGGCCCGTACGGGCTGCGCCAGGCCCGCGCGCGGCCCGTACGGGCTGCGCCAAGCCCGCGCGCGGCTCGGGCCGCCTGCGCGCGGTTCGGGCGGTTGTGCCAGGCCCGTGGGCGGCCCTTTCCTCGCTGCCCCTGCCCTCCCCGCTGTCCCCCGTGCTTCTACTGGCGCCCCACCCCTCCTACAGCCCGTTCTCCCGAATTAGGGTTTGGGGGTGAGGGGTATGGGGGTGAAGCCACTGTGTGCCGTTCCCTGCTCCTCCTCCTCCTCCGTCTCCCTGTGCTGCAGCTGCCGCTGAGGGGGGGTGGACTTGTTGGAGCCGTTGGAGTGGTACTAAGGGGGGGTGAAGGGGGAGTGGAGCTAGCGGTGTAGCAGCGGGTGTGTGAGAGGGGTGTTGGGCAGCTGGGGGAGGTTAAGTGGAGGCAGCAGTCTTGTCGTCAGCAGCACCAGCAGTCCGGAGGCTACAATCTCCGGTAGTCGCCAGTCGCCTGTGGGTCAGTTGCTCGTCTGCCGCTACTTTTAGCCGCGGAGCCAGTTACTCCTGTAGTCCGGGCCTTTGCTTCGGTAGCCACTGAGCCAGCAGCTCGTCTGTGTGTCTGCAGCGTCAGCAGTCGCCTCCCATCTTCTCACCCCCACAGTCTCTCCTCCTCCTCACTTGCCCTCTGTGACTACCACTAGCTTTGCTCATAATTGTGAACTTTAAACTATTGCTTCTTGAACTTGTGCTCAGAATGTGTGGTGACATTGTGATCCACCCTGAGCTTGTACTGCTTTACTTGCTCTGCTGATTACACCCCACTTTGGCTATGGGGGTGTGTCAGAATATTATGCTCTAGCCTGTAGTGGGGTGCTCTATAGCGAGTACAACCCTTCTAGGGTTTGCTATTTGTATCCTCATTCTTGCTACTGCAACCCCTCTTCTTCCTACTATTTTAACAGCGCGTTGACATCACCATCAACCACAACGTGAAGCAGTTTTTGGGGCTGAACATCACCTACGCGCCAGAAGCAATACACCTGTCAGCCTCCAAGTACGCAGAGCAGCTGGGGGAACGCTTCAACATCTCACCTGCACCACTCTCAACTCCCTACCGCAACCCCAGCGCCAACTACAAACCGGACAACAAACCTCTGTCACCCGCAGGGCTCCAAATGTACCAGCAGAAGTTAGGGTGCCTGCTATTCGCCTCTGTCACCTGCCGACCCGACCTTTCGTACATTGCCATTCAACTGGCGCAGTATTCCCGCAAGCCAGTAGCTGAGAACCAGCTGGACCTGGAGCGCGCCCTGCAGTACTTTGTCTCTACTCCTGACATTGGGCTCTCCTACTCCACGCTGACGACGACCTCCTTCAACCTCAACGGCTACGTGGACGCAGATCATGCAGCTGACTCTGCAAATCGACGGTCCCGAACCGGCTTCGTTTTTCGCTTGGAACCAACTGGGCCAATCTCCTGGAACTCGCAGAAGCAGGAGCTGGTTGCCCTGTCATCGGCTGAAGCAGAATACATCGCCGCGACAGCAGCAGTTCGCGAAGGCCTGTACCTTCAGGAGCTACTACAGGAGACGAAAATCCCAACTTCGCCTATCTTTCGCCTTCACTGCGACAACCAGAGCGCCATCAGGATCGCGAACAAGCCTGGTTTCGTGAACCGCACGAAGCACATCGCACTTCGGTACTTCTTCGTCAAGGATGAAATTGACCAAGGAAAAGTCGACCTCGCCTACTGCCCGACTACTGAGATGGCAGCAGACTTCCTCACCAAGCGCCTGCCACGTCAGCAGTACAAGCACTGCTCTGACCTCACCGGAGTAGTCAAGCGAGTCAGCTCCTCCCGCGCCCAGGAATGAAGGGGAGTGTTACGATATGAAACTATATGAGTAGGCATTCCTGTATGCTGCAGGAGCCGACTCTACCGAGTACGAAGTCGAGGAGTCAGAAGAGTCGAAGCGACGCAGCAACCGTCTGACCAAGACCGATGCAGGCAGAAACATTTGAAGTGAAAAGAGCGGGAACAGGTTTGAAACGGGTTCCCGCGCCGCACGGTTTGAATTTCGCTGCAATAAGGGAATGTACCCCTTAGAGTACATGGCTAGTCTAGGTCTTTTCGTATTCCCTTGTATTCTTATATAAACCCGATGTATGCATGCTTTTATCAACTCAGTCATTTACATTCACTCTGACCTGAGATTCAAACTTCCGCTGCAACACTACTATGCGATCAACCCTGAGCGATACTTCGCTAAGTCCCACTTGGGATTGTAACAAATTGCAACTTCAAAGTGTAACCACAGGTGTAGTTGAACCATATACAAGTCAAAATGCAATTGATTTGGTAGTTAATATCAAATCTATAGGACACGTAAGTCACAACATGTTACAAATTCACAACATCAGCACTACAACAAACAGATGGTCTCAAAATACAGGCCCCTGACCAGCGAGAACAGACACTGCGTCAAAATACATCTACTGTGGACGAAAGCATGGAGCAGAGGTTGTACCAGGAAATAGGTCCAAAAGGAGATGCAGACTGGAGCATGGTACTACAACAGCAGGACGGGAAGCCAGCAGGATGGGGAACGACGAGTGCAAAGGTTGGAAAGGGAGCGGCGCATAATGAAGGGACAACAAGAGGGGTATGGAATGGGTATGGAATGACAACAGGCAAGCAACCATCATGCTCGGAGACAACAGGTAACCAGCTGAGGATAAATATGCAAGACCGGGGCCACGAAGGAGGTGCTCGGGACCTGGGAAGGCTCAGCATCATCACCAGCCATCCAATTGCGGCGGAGCTTTGGCATTGCAAGGCACAATGCAAGCAGTGCACATGTGTCTGCTTGCACCGTGTGGTAGCAGCTGCCTGCCCCTGAGAGGACTAGTGAGATGCGCGAGACTTCAGCTGAAATCTGGGTGGGGTTACCCTCGCAGATGGTGGATGGAGCACACGGGTATCCAGGTGGGGATATACTCGGATGGAAGATGGTCGCAGGAGGACAGAGGTGCAGGCGAAGCAGGGCTACCTGGGGTATGGGACAGCTGCTGCAGAGGTTGGCACGAGAAAGAGAGGGTGAGAGGGCGAGTTTCTGTGGAAGCGAGTGCAGCCAGGGAGGGCAGCACAAGCAGGGCTACACGGAGAGAGAAGGCTACTTGGGCAGGGCTAGTAGGAGAAGGCTTCTTGGAAGGGCCCGTTCTGAAGGTTCATTTGGGCAGAGGCTACTAGGAGTGGAGAGGGGCTTGGGCAGGATCACTTGGGCAGGGGAGGGCTACTTGGGGCGAAGGTTGGTGCGGGCGAGGATGCGCTTGCCGTAGGGGCTGCTGCGGAGGGATGGCAGGTGCGGGCGAATGGCCTCCACCAGTGCAGTGTACAGCGGTCCCTGCGAGGGCGAGGGGGAGGATGAGGGTGTGCAGGGCACAGGGAGGAGAGGGTGAGGGTGGGCGCAGGGAGGAACTCAGCAGCGGAGAGGCATCATCAACTTCCTGGATGTTGGGCCGCCTGCCAGAGGTCCAGCTCGTTCCCCCCTCTACCCATCCCCTCCTCCCCTCTGCCCTCCGTTTCTCACCATAGCCACAGTCAATGCGGACTGAACAGCTGGCCAAGTAGTTGGCAACGGGGTCCTGGAGCAGCTGACCCGGGAGATTTTTTAGGCACCTAAAAAGTTGGCAACGGGGCCCTGGAGCAGCTGACCCGGGAGATTTTTGAGACGCCTACAAAAAAGGCAATGGGGTCCTGGAGCAGGTGACCTGACCCAGGAGAAGCGAGATACCAGGGTTGAGGCACTTCTCTCCCTGCAGTTACCCATTTGAACCCTCTCCCTGTCAACCCCACTCTTCTCACCTTCGCCACCGTCAGTCCAGTCCAGAGTGGACCATGTAATTTGCAAACAGCTCAACAGAGGCGAGATTAGGGGTCTGAGGCACTTCTCTCTCTGACCTTTTGACCCCTCTTTTCCTCACCTTAGCCACCGTCAGTGCAGACTGAACCACGTAATTCGTAAAGGGGTCCGGCGGGAGGTGCCCCAGCAGGGGCGAGACAACGATCTCCTGGATGGTGAGGTGGCGGCAGTTGTCGGGGGCGAGCTTGAGGCACTCCCCTCTGACACCCCTTCCCTCCCACCTAACCCTCTCCCCTGTAAACCCGAGCGGCCCAGGCTCACCTTAGCCACGGTCAGTGCGGACTGAACGACATAGTTGGCAAAGGGGTCCTGCAGCAAAAGGCCCAGCAGGGGCGAGCTTCAGGCACTCCCCTCTGAAACCCCGTCCCACCGACCTGACCCTTACTCCTGCAAGCCCCATCCCAGCCTCACCTTAGCCACGGTGAGTGCGGACTGAACGACATAGTTGGCAAAGGGGTCCTGCAGCAATTGTCCGAGGAGGGGCGAGACGACGAGCTCTTGGATGATGAGGCAGCGGCAGTTGTCGGGGGCGAGCTTGAGGCACTTCTCCACGACGTTGCTGCTGAACTTCTGCTGCGCCAAGGGCGCGTACTGCCCCTGCAGGCGCACCACCACCTCCTCCATCGCCCAGGGAAGACCTAGGTCCAACACATACTGCACCACGTAGTTGCTGAGAGGGGCAAGGGGGATAGGAAGGGGGGAGAGAGTGAGAAAGGTTTGAGGTGGCTCTTAAGTCTGCAGACGCACCAGCACCTCCTCCATCGCCCACGGCAGCCCCAGGTCCAACACGTATTGCACCACGTAGTTGCTGAGAGGGGGGGGAGGGAGGAGTGGGGAAAGAGAGTAGCAAATCATGTTTGAGGCGCATCAAAAGTCTGCAGACGCCCTGCCACCTCCTCCATCGCCCATGTAAGCCCCAGGTCCAACACATGCTGCACCACGTAATTGCTGAAGGGGCAAGGGGGATAGGAAGGGGGGAGAGAGTGAAAAACGTTTGAGGTGGCTCGTAAGTCTGCAGACGCACCACCACCTCCTCCCTCGCCCAGGGCAGCCCCAGGCCCAACACGTATTGCACCACGTAGTTGCTGAGGATGGGTTGGGAGGGTGACGGCGGAAAGGAGGGAAGTGGGGCGAGGGAAGGGGTAGGGGAGGGGTGGGTGAGAGGAAGTGGAGAGGGGGAGGGCAAGGCAAGAGGGGAGAGTGCAAGTGGTACGGTAAGAGGAGGGCTATGAAGTGTATGTGCTTATCCAAGGTTCTGGTGCCAAAGCCTGGTTGCTGTCAGGCATACACAAGGGTCTTGCTTGCTAGAGCATCGTGATATTCAATTGTTTATGAGACGTCTCAAAAACACTTTAATATCAGAAAGCCTGGTTGCTGTCAGGCATGCATACACAAGGGTCTTGCTTGCTAGAGCATCATCACCACACCACGGCGGCTGCATTGCAACAATTTGAAGCGAGAAAACAACATGACAGATAGTTGAGTACAGGGGGAATTCACCCGAAAGATTGTCCAGTAAGAGGAGGAACGCACCCGAAAGGGTCTTGGGAGAGGACGAGGGCGTTGGAGGCGACTTCCGCCAGGATGCGGTTCTTCTGCTGGCCCTGTGCGAAGTCAATGCAGCGCTGCAGCACACAGCAGCCGTGGCGGTGCGACGCTATCTCCACGCAGTGCGACACCGCCGCGTTGAAAATGAACTGAGGGGGTTGCGGGGATGGGGGGCGAAGGTGGGGGGATGGGGTGGGGTGGGTTTTTTTAGGCACTCCAAGTATCTCTACAGCAAAAGACAGTCAGAGTGAAAATGAACTAAGTGGTTCACGGATGGGGGGGGGAAGGGAGGGGAGAGTAGGACAGTGCAACACCACGTGGCTGCTGTTGTTGAGGTCCTAGAGGAGCGTCACCACTCCCAAACTAAACTGTTACACCCTCTCTCCTTGCGCTCCCACCCACCTTGCCTGCTCCTCGCTTTCGTTGCTCACCTCGTTCTGCTGTGCGGACAGTCGCTGCAGGCAGCGCTGCACAACGTGGTTGCCGTTGAGGTCCTTGATGAGCGTCACCAGGCCGCAACTGTTGCGCTCCTTTTCCATGTACCCCCTCCTTACTCACCTCGTTCTGCTGTGCTGAGAGTCGCCTGCCTCAATTACCTCGTTCTGCTGGGCTGATAATCGTTGCAGGCAGCGCTGCACCACGTGGTTGCCGTTGAGGTCCTTGATGAGCGTCACCACGCCGCCCGCCAGACTCGCTGTCAGCTGCTGCACCGCCTGGGGGTTGGTCACCGTCTCTATCAGCTTCTGCACCGACCGCGTGCTGTTGGTAGGGACAGAAAGGAGAAGGAAGAGGTGAGCGGGGAACATTGCCATTGGCCGTCACCGTCTCTATCAGCTTCTGCACCGACCGCGTGCTGTTGGCATGGGATGGGACAGAAAGAGGGAAGCGGGTGAAAGGGGTTCATCACATCACCGTCAGTGATTCTACTACGACAAAAGCCACTGCACTGCCTAAAGGCGTGTGTCACTGTCAGGATCAGCTTCTGCACCGACCGCCGCGTGCTGTTGGTATGCTGCTTCACATCAGACCTTTGGATAAGTGGACATACACACTAATGAGGTGACTTTCGAGTCGACTCAAAAGTCACCGCGTGCTGCTGGTATGCTGCTTGACATCAACCCTTTGGATAAGTGGACTTACACACGAATGTCCACCTGGCCCTTTGGCACCATCCCATCAGCCCTACTACTGCATTCACCCGTGCATGTTGAGCGAGATGCTGACGAGGTCCGTCTGTCTGGTTCTCTTTGGCCACCACGACAATGTACCCCCCTTTGAGAAGAGGCATCTCAGAGACCACCCACCCCATCAGCTCTTACTACTGCACTCACCCGTGCATGTTGAGCGAGATGCTGACGAGGTCTGTCTGGTTCTCCGTGGCCATGGCGAGGATCTCCTCCCTCTGCACCTCACTGCACACCTCCAGAGCTTTCTGCACCAGGTAGTTGCCAAACGGGTCTGTCATGAGCTCCACCATGTGCGGCTTGATCTCCACGAATATGCGCGCCACCTCCTCTGAAGTACCTTCATCGAATTTACGCTGAAGAAACCTGTGGGCAAGGGGTGGTAGGAGCGGAGGGGAGGGAAAGGCAAGAGGGGGGTCGGTCATGAGCTCCACCATGTGCGGCTTGACCTCCTTGAATATGCGCGCCACCTCCTCCGCACTGCCCTCGTCGAACTTGTGCTGCAGGAACCTGTGGGCGAGGGGCAAGAGGGAGTAGCATAGTTTGAATACATCCACCGAATGAGACCTCTTTTCTTGAATACGCGTGCCGTTTGCTTTAGACTGCCCTTGCCAAACTTCCACAGCAGAAACCTATTCTCGTTACACCCGACTAGACTAGACTTGAAACCCACCTGCATCCATGCTGGTCCTTGGCAATGACGGCCATCTGCCCTTCCACCTCATCCAGCGACGCGTACTTTGAATGCTGCGCCGAGCCCAGCCCCATCCCCATCCCTCCCACCCCATACCCCCCCATCAACCCTCCAGCACCCGAATATGCCCCCACTGGAGGCGACCCACCGCCCAGTTCCCCTCCACCCAGCCCAGCTCCAGGCCCAGGACCCATCAGCCCATTCGCCCCACTCGCCCCATTCGCCCCGCTCGCCCCGTCCATTCTGTTCCGCATGCCACCCCCACCAGGGCCCAGCATCCCAGGCGCCCCACTGGCTCCACCTCCCACCCCCCGTGCCCCCCCTGCACTGTTGCCGCCAAACCCAGGAGGATTTCCTCTGCCCCCGCCTGCACGCGGGCCCCTGTCAGGAGACACATAGGGAGCCGCCCCTACGCGGTAACCAGCCTGGGACGTTACACCCTGCGGTGCACTACCCGCGATTCCTGCTCCGCCCCCTGCTGCTCCCATAGCGCCTGCTCCTGCGCCTGCAGCTCCCAGCCCCATTCCTCCCATAGAATGCAGGAACGGGCACGACTCTCCCCGGGCGCAGTACCTGCTCTGAGAAAAGAACTTGCACAGGCCAGACGGGGTGCTGCTGCTGCTGCCACTGCCTGCTGCGCCTGTGGCAGGGGGGAACCCGAACCCTCCCGCCATGCCAGCCAGACCTGGGTTCAGAGCGAATAGATCCATGCCTGGTGCGCCCCCCCGGAGCATCTGAGCGGCGGCGGCGGCTGCTGCTGCGCCGATGGGGAGGTTGGCGGCTTGGCCTAGCAGCTGCTGCTGCTGCTCCTGGAGAAAGGCTTGCTGGTGGAAGAGCAGCTGCTGCTGCTGCTGGCGCTGCTGCCGCATGAGCAAGTCCTCCTCCACCTGCTGCTGCAGCGCCTGCAGCCGCTGCGCCTGCGCCTGCAGCATGGCCATCTGGAGGCAGGGAGTTGGCAGTGGGGTACAGAGAGCAGAAGGGGCAAAGTATATGCATGGTCAGTGGGCGCTGGAGCAAAGCTTATCAGAACAAAAAACTCAACCCAGAAGTTGGTCTCTCACCTGCTGTGCCTGAAGCAACGAGGACATATCCACATCCGACCCTGCTGCCCCCCCTTGTGAAGTCCCCTTCCCTCCCTTATCCTTGGATTCCTTCTCCCCCTGCCCCGCCCCTACTTGCTGCGACTGCACCTGCTGCTGCTGCTGCTGTTGGAGGCCCCCCATTGCAGAGAGCATATCCGCAGGGTTCGCCCCAGGAAACATCCTCGCAGCCTGCAGGGCAGCAGCTGCTGTAAACGCATCCATAGGCGCGCCAAGCCCGCCCAGCCCAAACCCGTCAAGCCCCATACCCATGCCAAATCCCCCTCTTGGCCCAGCACCCCCTGCCGCTGCTGCAGCCGCTGCCGCCATGCCTCCCATCCCGCCATACAAGTCCACGCCAGGTGCGCCTGCTCTGGCCCTCAGCAGCTGCTCATACAGGTGCAGATTCGAGGGGGCGATGCCTGCTGCGCCTGGCAGCATGCCTGGCATGAGGCCCGCTCCGCCTTGTGCAAGAAGGGCGTCCAGACCCAGGAGCCCGGCGCCCTGGCTTCCTAGCCCCGGGGAACCAAGTCCTGGCAGTGCCCCTCCTGCGGCTCCAGCCAGAGCAGGGGAGCTTGCAGCAGCAGCGGCAGCAGCAGGGGCTCCTGTGGGGGAAGCTGCTGGCCCACCGGCGCTTGATCCTGCCTCCTTCGCGCTAGCATCCGCTGCCGCGCCTTTCCCTGCCTCCCCTCCCTTGCCTTTGTTTTGGCTGGGGGCAGCAAAGGCTGCGGCTGCAGCTGACAAGCCCATTCCGACAGGCAGTCCTGCTGCTGCACCTGCTCCTGCAAGTCCTGCTCCTGCGAGTCCTGCTGCAGCTCCTGTCGCTCCTCCTCCACTCACGGCTGCCAGAAGCTCCTCTAAACTCGCACCAGACGCTCCTGAGGCTCCTCCCATGGCTTGTAGCAGCGCAGCCGTTGTGAACGGATCTAAACCCACAGATCCGCCCAGCAGACTTGCAGCAAGAGCGGGTGGTATACCACCAGGACCAGCTAGAGAAGAGATTCCTGCAGCGGCAGAGGAACCAAGAGCAGACATGCCACCCATCCCTCCCATGAACCCGCCTACATTAGCCGTCCCTACTACGACTGGACTTCCCCTGCTGCCATGGCTTTCAGAAGGGCTGCTCACGTGCTGCTGGGACCCTGCCTTGCCGTGTCCTGATCCGCTATCAGCAGCCCCGTTACTGGCACTCGCGTCTCTAACAACGGGTGCGGATCCTCCTACACCGAGCCCCTGAAAAGCCGTCGCTAAACCATTGGTCCCAGAGGCATCTTGACCCGGTCTCTTTTCAGCCAGCGCTTTCCGTGACAGCTCCCGTTCTTGCAGCGCCTGCTGCTGAGCCACCTGCCGCTGCATCTCCTCCAGAAAGGCCTCCTCGTCCGTCCCGTCCGTCCCGTCCCCTCCGCCACCAGGCGTCGCCCCACCATTGGCGCTCCCGCCCTCTACCTGTACCCTCGCCGCGTCCTGTCTCCTCATCTCTTCCATGCTTTCCCTCAGCTTGCTGTCGTCTAGTGCCAAACCGCCAAAGAAACCACCGTCGGGGCCCATCTCGCCTTCTCTTGCAGCGAATTTAGGAGAATCGCTGTATAGCTGGAGGTTTTCCACGGGAGGTGGGAGTTTTTTCACGCCGGAATACACCTTGTAGAACTCCTCGTAGTCTTCGTCTCTTCGGATGTCTGCCAGAACAGGGGAGTGGAAACGATGCGTGACGACCAAGTACAAAGGAGGAAAGAGGTAATGAGCGCGTGAAGAATCACACTATCCTCCTCTCCAATGGTGAACCTCGTTCATGACACCACGTCACCAATCGTGTCTGCATTCTGACTTGTAGACGGAGCCAACGTAATCCTACATGTTAGAACCTTACACGAAAGAACGTAAATTGATGAGCAGGACACATCAGGCACAAGGTGTGTTAGTCAGTTAACAGGGTCGTAACTTTCAGGGACGTAACCTTTAGGGACGTAACCTTCAGAAACGTAACCCTCAAAAGGTACCTTCAAAAGGCTTGACAGCAACGTCACCCTCGGCGCTACCAGCGAATGCTCCTGTGTCCGGAGCGATGCCATAAACTTTCTGCAGATTTCAATGATACGCATCAGGATAATCGTAACCGCAAAACGCGTACTTTGCACGGTCAGGAACCACTTCTCCCTTTGACATACACGACAAAGAAAGTGTGAAGTCTTGCAATGGCAAATTCGAAAATATCATATCGACAGCTCTCAACGACTTGCCAACCTGCAATTCTGCCAGCTGAGGAGGAGCGGATGTAGCTCTTGGGAGCAGCTCTTCTAGAATCTGGTTAATATCAGCATCATCCTCTGATTGAGGCTCTCCTGAAACCCCTGTTCCGTCAGTCTGCTCGTTTATCTGCTGCTCTGAATCCAACTCTCCGCTACCTGGCATTGTTTTTGCACTAATCTCATCTTTCACGCCTTCCATTCCAAGATATAGATCGACCGAAGGCTGGATACGAAATCAAACTACACCAGAAGGACTCTTCCGCTTCCGAAAACGGCTGGAGTCATGAGCAGGCGATAACTGCGGACAAACACAATGGGTGGAACGCGGATGGATGATTTGACGGACTTCTAGAACGCTAATCTGTTCTGAAATATAATGCAGCTAAACAGATTTCCCGTTTGACCCATTTGCCTGAGTTGATCTCTTGACCAACCAAACCAACCAAAGTGGAATTGGAGAAGTCGTTGCGGGGAGCGTTGGGCCAGAATGGACGGGGAGGGATGAACGACAAGGGGACGGAGTGGACGGCCGGACCACATGTTGCCACGCTCGTGATTCCCTTTGTCCCGCCACCGTCTAGTCTGCCGTCGAGCCGGTGAAGTTCTGATCCGTCCACATCAGCATCTCCACCTTTGCAGTGCTAGCTTCGCCATTTCGAAAATGGCCGTTGGATCACAGTGGTTGGGATCCATCCGCTGGTGCTTCTCTAGGGCTATTTTAGCTGGACCAGAATGCTTACAGAGTTTCACTGTAGATTCATCAACTTATGTGGCTAAACGAATAGAACCATAATGAGTGGTTTTCGTTTCAAAATTCGGTGACGCAAATGGTTTTCGCAGAAGAGTTCGTCTGTCGTCGCTATACGTGATTGGGCGACGGAGGGTTGTCGTTGGGTCCTTCTCCAACACCTCCTTCCTCCACAAATCGAGACGCGGGTCCGCAGTGCTTCCATTTTCATTCAAGAGCTGTTCAGGGTGAAAACTGCATCTCATACTCTTCCTTCGTTATTTCTACCTGGAAGGGTTTGTGTAAGGACGGGATATGTCTGCGCCCCTCTGGCTATCCTTATCGACAAGGATAGAGGTTCTAAATTAGGGTGCTTTTGTAACTGCACATCCCTAGTTGGCTGTACTTGGCTGATCCCCTTTTCGGTAGGACTGGTTGATGGAAGGGGGGGGGACCATGGCGGCCAATCCAAAAACCGTAGAAGATGTTTTTAAGGACTTCAGTGGTCGGCGAAAGGGCATGTTAAAGGCTTTGACAACCGGTATGCACGACATAGTCTATATTTTTCAGATTTTGTTATCGTCTCATTGCGAACCTAAAATATGCTTTTCGAGGTTAACACCATTTCGTCGTCCCGCGTGTGAGTGCAGATGTGGAAGATTTTTATCGACAGTGTGATCCAGGTTTGTCTTCCGTAGCGATTTTTTAAAATTGACGACGATAATTTGCATTTAGATTGCTCGGTAGTTCCGCCTCTTTCTTATCGTTCTGTCGCTATTCGTCGCTTCGCTTGTCGCAGAAAAGGAAAATTTATGTTTGTATGGTTACCCGGAGGAGGCTTGGGAGGTCAATCTACCAGCAGAGGAAGTGCCACCGGAACTACCAGAGCCCGCTCTTGGAATAAATTTTGCAAGAGATGGAATGCAGAAGAAAGATTGGCTAGCCTTGGTTGCAGTGCACAGCGACGCATGGCTCCTCGCAGTAGCATTTTACTACGGAGCTCGATTCGATAAAAATGAGCGGTACGATGTCTTTCGCTTCAATCTAGATCTAAATTTGTTTTTCGTTTTTTGCTAAATTTATTCGGACGTGCTGGTGCAGGAAGCGGTTGTTTAACCTTATCAATGACTTGCCCACACTATTTGATATAGTAACGGGCAAGAAGCAGGCGGTTGAAAAAGCAGCAGCCAACAACAGCGGGTCGAACAAGGCGAAGAGCTCTGGCAAGGCGGTAAGTTTTGCCCAGTGTAGTGACATTTCCCCTCAATGTGCTGTTCTAGGGTTCCAAACCTTTCTTGTCTGCTGACGGTTCGTGTTCACAATTTCAGCGGAGTGGTGAGGTGCAGACAAAACAATCAAAGCCGAAACAAGAAACTCCAGAGGAAGAGGAGGATGACGAGGAGGAGCATGGGGAAACGCTTTGTGGCATTTGCGGCGGGCTTTATGGGGCAAACGAGTTCTGGATTGGTTGCGACCATTGCGATAAATGGTGCGTTTTATCTTGTTTCCGTTTCCATTTCTGTCCCGTTCTTCACAATATGCACTTCCATCCTAATGCGATGTTGTGTTTCTGCAGGTACCATGGAAAGTGTGTGAAAATTACACCAGCCAAGGCAGAGCATATCAAGGACTACAAATGCCCGTCTTGTGCAAAGAGAGCTAGATAATGATTTGTTGATCCTGTATTATGTTTGCTAGTTAATCTTAGTGGTGGAATAGCCTTTCCCTGGTACCACCTGATTTGGTGGAAATGAAAGGTCTGCTGGATGATAAGGGTTGGGAAAGATCAACCTGGGTTAGGATCCTTGCTAGATGAGGAAATTGTTATGCTTAGCTAGGAAACTAACATGGATATTTCATCGGCCAATCTGTTAATCCTCTTGCACATAGTGGATAAAAGCTGTACTGCATCATGTACAGCAGTACTAACCTGCCACTTCATGCTGTCTTGTACAGACTCCCAGTTCTTAAAAATGTTCCACCAACCAACCAACCTTCTTGTTTCACCTTTAATTACCTGTTATGTGGGTATAAGCCTCCTCCAGAGAGTACCTAAACCACTGTCAGGTTCCCAACTTAGAGGGAAAGGAGAGGAGGAAGCTAAGAGGGAAAGCCAGTGGGGAGCGGGATGCCAGGCAAGAAAGAGGAGAGTGAGGGGTGAGAGGCACCTCAGGAGCAATCAGAAAAAAATGGGAGGGGGTGAATGCAGGAAGAAGCAAACATGGGCGTGAAAGGAGAATGGACGAGACGAGGAGAGGAGGGTGAAACGAGACGAGTGACGGAAGGAGGGCCAAAGGAGGGAAACAAAGGGTGGTGATGGAAGGGAAAAGGGGCAACTAAAAGGGACAAGAATAGAGGGCGATGGAGAGAGGACGAGGGGAAGGGTGGGTGGGATGGGGTAGATGAGGAAGGTAAGTAAGAGGTGGAGTGGGGGAGGGATGGATAGGGTTAGGAAAAACGGACAAGGAGGGAAAAGGGTGTGCAGGGAAGAACGAAGGGACGGGGAAAGGGAATGCTGAAAGACAGATGGGGGGCAACGGCAGAAGAGGGCAGTCAGACGACAAGTGGAAAAACAAAAACGCAAGGGAAATGGAAGAAAGGGATGGAGGGACAGGGAGAGGGAGGGAGGGAAGGATGGAGGCCCAGATGGAAGTACAAAGCGGCGCGAGAGCGGAGTGGGGAGGGAAGCTGGAGAGAGCAAAGCGGGAAAGGGAAGGGGATTTGCACGGCGAAGCGGCGGAGGGGGCAGTGGGGGCTGGGCGAAGGGGAAGGAACGGAAGGAGGTGGAAAAGGATGGAGCGCAGAACAGCAGGGGAGGGAGTTTGACAAGAGGGTACAACAGACTCGGGAATGGCAAAGAACCGGTGGAAATGGTATGCCGAAGAGTATCGGAAGTAAGCAACACGCAGAGAGTGGGGGTGGATGTAGTCTCCTGCAAAGCATCTTCTCCCTCTTCAGAAAGACCCTGCCTGCCAATTGTTTCCATCCTTGTCGACACTCTCATTGGCTCCTTTAGACTCACAGCCTTGGTCCAGGTTCCACAGCGTTCTGCCTGCAATTGTAGCTTCAGCTACGGGTGCCCTCAACCTTTCTCTTCCCCACAAAACCTTGAAAAGCAGTTCTCTCTGTGAATTTGGTCCTCCACATCATTTGGAATCCTGGGGTGACTGTTTCAGAAGAAAATACCACGCATGCATGGACGCTATATGGGACGGTGTAGGGCCAGGGACGGCACAACTCCAGCGCCTAAGCATGCGCTTAACTCCGCCTGCAGGAGAGACATGAGCTCTGTTCCTGTGCGACGGTACACCCAACCCTGGCCTGGTAACCAGTCAAAGCGTGCTGGACCACTGCAGGGGAGAATAGGAAGAGGCAAGCAGTGTATGAAGCCTGAGAACCTGGTGAAACAGAAGCAGGTGAAATGTGCACAAAGTTGCAACTGGATTTAACACGGATGACGATCTTCACTTTCAGCCAATATGGACATGGGCAAAGGGTATGCAGCGCGCGGTTTAGGAGGACACACAGCTTGTAGTCAAGGCAGCCCACGATAAACCTGTGATGGTGGTGGCACGGTTCAGTGATCGAAATGGATTTGGATAAGTAGAGAAATACCTTTGTGGGGATGAAAGCCAGATTTGCCTGTTGGGGGCTTGCTTGTTGATCACAAAAATTCCGTGTTGTCCAAGACGAAGCGTCAGAACTCCTTGCTGGGTAAAAGTAGTTGAAGCGAGCAACATAGGAAAGAAGTGCTGGGTATCTCTCAACCCACTGCACAGCTAGCGACCCAGGCATACTGTGAGCTTCAAGTTCCAGGGTTGCTAAACAGGAAAATCTGGAGAAAGAGAATGACATGCTGCTGGTCAAAGACCATGAAAGTGGGAACCTCAGATGTAAACATGAAGCCTAAAGACACTTACTGACAGGTCCGCATCGAATCCTTCGATGTCCAGCTCATCTCCTAGAGCCTGCAAAACCGCCAGACAGCAAATATGTGAAGAGCAAGAGCAGTTGAATGGGTCAGGCTTAACAGACGCAAATGTCAGCATCTAGGTGTCAGAGCGAAAGCATCTGACTGTGAGCATCTCGGTGCATACATCGAATTTCTCATGGAGCCAGTGCAGGGCTTCGTCTGCGAGCCGGTGAAATTCATTCTCCCTCAACTCCACTTCCGTTGCTTCTGCTGCGTCAGACGACGACGGTCCGACCACCGGCGATGTATGTTGTGGTGATAACGCTGACAGCTGTCGTGTCACTATCGATTGCGGTGATAGTGATGACGACAGCTGTCGGGTCATCATTGTCGGCCTTGACGCCAAAAGAACGGATGCTGATGAAAATACTCGTGACTGTACTAGTATCGCCTGATTGGAAGTATGAATCCCCAACGGTCCTTCGCGAATGGATTCTACCAGGTCGGCTGCAAGGACCCGTTGCGTGCTTCGTAACTGGGCATCTGTGTCGTCTGAAAAGCGTGCGACGTATTGCAACCTACAGTTCTCGTCTGACCACAGAAACGGCGCTCCAGAAGAGACTCGCGGCGAAGAACCGAATCGCTGCCGGACTAATCTACGCCGTCCGTGCGAGCAAATAGTAGGAATGAATTTACTGCCCATTGTCCCAATACGGAGCGCGTGGCAGCAAATATCTCTTTGCCTGAGAACCAATCGTCTGACGAATTCGACGCGAAAATCGCAGAAAGCCGTGACGAAAGCGCCTAGAAGCGTTATTCTAACAGCAAGGCGCTGAATCTATCTTTGCCATGGCTGAATATGGCAATGATGCTTCTGGAATTCCCTGAAATTTGGAGTCGAGATACCCAAGCCAAGTGTAAGGAAATTTCCTTTTCCTTACTTCTCGTCCCTGCTCAGCGCGTACATCACTATTCACGCCAACTCTCAACACTGCACCGTTACCACTCGCGACACCCGCCTTGACGAGTGTTCCCGCCACTATTCATGACGCGACCCGACCTCACGGTTCGGTTGGTAACCCGCGCTCCGGACCTCCGCCTCGACAATTCCCTGCCTCGGCGCTAGGCCCGTAGCGCACTCCATTTTTACGCATTACCGTTATCACGCTAGCTTTGCTATATATTCTGCAGAAACGCTGATGATAACTAGACCCAAGGGCCTTGGTGAAGACATCAGCAGTGTTGGCCTGTGTGGCCACGTAAGCAAGACGAAGCTGACCACGCTGCTGCATCTCTCGCGTGAGGAACTAACGGAGAGCAATGTGCTTTGTTCTGTGCTCCAGTCTCTGGTCCTAACACAATGCAATCATGGCGTTGTTGTCGACGTACAGAACTAGAGGAGAACGAGGTTGCTCACCCAGGTCGGTCAGCAGGTAGGTCAGCCAGCGGAGCTCCTGTGCAGCCATAGCCCCATCGTAGATCTCGGCGTCACAGCTGGAACTAAGCACAGAAGACGAGCGAGTGGACCTCCACGAGACAGAACCAGCGCCGAGGCTGAAGCTGTAGCCCTGTGTCGACCGGTGAGTCGTCTGGTCGTCAGCCCAAGAAGCGTCTGCGTGACCTGTGAGAACAACTGAACCCTCTTCGCAACATCCCAGTGCACCTTTCGGTGTCGACCGGGAGCCACGTAACGAGCCAGGAGGCTGAGAGGGTACGCGAGGTCAGGTCGTGTGCACGTCATCAGGTACACGAGGCAACCCACAAGCTCTGGGTACGGACCACTCGACTCTACGGACTCGTCCGAAGGTGGAGCTCAGAGCGAGTTGCCTGTAGACAGAGGAGTGGACTGTGGCGAGGACCACGAGAAGTCGAAGCGCTAAAGGACCTGCTGCACCATGTGTGACTGAGTGAGGGTGATGGTGCGGCGTGCTCTGTCCCGGGTGATCTGCAAGCCAAGATAGCTCCGCAGCTCACCCAAGTCCGTGCAGGTGTGTCTCTCCTGCAGCTCCGCCTTCACTAGGGTCAGTGCCTCAGTGTCAGCAGTAGCAAAAACCAAGTCGTCTACGTACACAAGAACGGAGAACGGCGGCAGAGAAGTGTCTGTGCGCAGAAACAGCGAAGGGTCAGCAGTCGAGGGAGCGAAGCCAAGAGCCGCAAGTGTAGTCCTCAGTGTGTTGTGCCACTCACGGGGCGCCTGACGCAGACCGTAGACTGGTCGCCGAAGACTCCACTGGGTACCCTCAGGAAACGACCCAGTGAAGCCACGTGGGCGGCGCAACCAGATAGCCTCGTGAAGGCTGCCCTGCAGGAAGGCTGTCGAGAAGTCGAGGGAGTGCAGCTCGCAATCGCGTTGTGCTGCAACGTGCAGTAGCACCCGAAGAGTGGTCATATTCGGGGTGTGGGAGAAGGTCTGGAAGAAGTCGACCCCCTCACGCTGACTGAAGCCTCGTGCAACGTAACTCGCCTTGAAGGCAGGCGGAGAACCCGGCGGCCGCTTCACCCTGGAAATCCACATGCCATCGACTATGTTCGCCCCAGGTGGGGGAACCTCGTCGACGTAGACGCCTGCGGACTTCCAGGAAGCCATCTCTGCGTCCATGGCTATCTGCCACTGAGAGGAGTACGGACCCGTGATCGCGTCTGCGTAAGAACGCGGGGTCGGGATGTTTGGTGCATCCGGGTCCCTCAGGGCAAAGTAGCGTGGACGCAAGATGAGGTGCAGCGGCCGCTAAGCACTCCAGCTCAAACTGCCTGTCCTCAAGGACGTCACAGCCAAGGGCAAGCTCACCCCCAATGGACGGAGGACAGGAAGAGTAAAAAACAAGACTCGCAGCGTAGTCAAGGCGGCACAAAGCATCAAAGTCAACAAGCTCAGCAACTAAGGCAGACGCAGCAGCAGACTCAAAGGAAGGGTCAGTCACAACTGTGGCAAGGAGACGAGTGACAGTCGGACTGGCAGTTCAGACAGGGTCAGGAACGTGAGGAAGAGAAGACGCAGGAGGTGACGGCAGGACAACACGCTGTGGAACTGAGGAAGGACGGAGTGCCATACGGTGAGTGCCTGGCACAGCTGGAGCACGAGGACGGGCAACATGACGAGCACGAACAGGTGTGGAAGCACGAGTCTCAGGCTCACGACGCTCAGTCAGGGACTCAGCAGGGCGGCTCGGCTGGGCGACTCGGGCGGCAGCAGCAGCTTAGCAGCAGTAGCAGCTGCAGCAGCAGCAGCAGCACAGGCGGCAGCAGTAGCTTAGCAGCAGTAGCAGCTGCAGCAGCAGCAGCAGCACAGGCGGCAGCAGCAGCTTAGGCGCAGCAGCAGCTCAGGCAGCAGCAGTGCAGCAGCTCAGGCAGCAGCAGCGCAGCAGCGGGCTGCAGCTCACGGCAGGGCAGGGCAGGGTGAGCGGTGCCGTGTGCAGGGCAGCGCGGGGCGTGCTGGCAGTGTGCGGGCATCGCGCAAAGCAGCGCAGTAGCAGGCAGCTTGAGCAGCGCGGGCAGCGCTTGGGCAGCGCAACAGGGCAAATCGTGGGCAGCGCCGTAGGGCAGCGGCGTTCGCGAAGCAGCATGCGGTAGCGGCGCACAGCAGGGGCGTGCGGCGACGTGCTGGGCAGAGGCGCGTGCTAAGCGCGGGGCAGTAGTGACGCGCGACGGGCAGCAAAGGGGGGGGGGCGCGACGGGCAGCAAGGCGCTCGCGTTAGAGGCGTTTTGCGGGCAGAAAAAACGGCGAGGACTAGGGGCGCGCCACAGGCAGCTAACGGGGCAGCGGTAACGGTGGGCCCGGAAAAAAAAAAAAACGGTCCTTAAACGGCGGTCCTAGGAACCTAACCGCTCTATACCATGTGAAGAGAATGTCGATTAGGTTGAGGGAGGGGGTACAAGGAGAATGTCGAGATGATTTCTGTACCCCCTAAAGCTAGCCCCAATACAGCCTAGATACAACTAAGCATATATGTTTTGACATGCACCAGCACCAACATAAGCACCTGCAAATGCACATGCGCAATCGGAGGAGCCGATCATCATCTCGTCCGGCACACCGTCACAACACGACAGCGTGGGACATCGCTCAGGCGCAGTCAGTGATGGCGCCGCCCAATCAATCCCTGGCATGGAGAGGAACAGGGCTGCACCAAGCACGAGCGGGCCTAGCGAAGCTTGTCGTCACGTGGAATTTGCGGCAACGATCGGCAACAATGACATCGTCGCGCCGATGCCGCTCAAACTGCAGCGCCCGCCCTGCTTCGATCCGAGCCAACGAGGAGGTCCGACGGTTCAATCGTGGGACTTTACGATGAACGTCTTCTTCGACTCGAATTACGTCGAGACGGACGCAGCGAAGATTCGATACGCTGTTTCGCTGCTAAGGGCCCCCGCCATGGACTGGTGGCGAGTCATCGTGACGTCGCCACGCGCCTACGAGCCACCGTCGCAAGAGGAAGAGACGGGTCCAGCCATCACCTGGAGTTCGTTATGTGAAACCGCCCAGTACAGCACGTGGGATGCGTGGTGCGCAGGGCTTCGGGCGCGCTTCGAGCTGATCGCGGCTTCTATTTTGGCGCGTCAGAGACTGCGTACTTGGCGACAGCTTGGGTCGGTCCAGGATTATACGAGCGGTTTTCTCGCACTATGCGAGCAAGTCGGCTACATGCACGAGGCGGAGCGGGTGGACCGTTACGTCGGAGGGCTGAAGCCGGACATATCGCACGAAATCATGCTACGGGGGCTCTCGAACTTCAACGAGATCCTCGCGCTCGCCGAGAAAATTGACATTTTGCGCCGTCCGAGACCGGGGTCCTACTACGGACATCGCCCTCGAGGGGCGACCGAGCA